TTTTGTAAACATCTTTCTAAAATGATAAAATAACTATGTAGATTAAAAATGGTGAAATACATGTTGATATTTTCGTCTAGTTTTGACTTTTGGAACTGTTTATCTAAGCACTTTGACTCATCAAATTCTCTCAATGTGTAAGCCTAAATATAGTCATGTGTGATCTTATTTGGTTTGTCTTAACATATAGATTATTAATATATAATTTCTATAATATTTTAATATACAAATTATAAGATAAAATGGATTAAAGAAGTGTATTGGATGGTGTGTAAAAATGAAAGTGGACAAATACTCTAGGACGGAAGAAGTAATATTTAGAAAATAGAAGATTTTATACAAAATCAATGGTCATTCAATGTATTAACAATGAAAATTATTTTAATTAATGAAAAATTAATAGAAGAGGCACCAAAGTTTTATAATTAAAATTAAAACTAAAATCTATATTCGTTTATTTCAAAAGTAATAAAATGAAATAAATGATGAATAGTTTAAAATTATTTTTTAATGTTTATTAACATAATAAAATTATATAACTTTTTTGAATAATAATATAGTAATATATCCGGGGTGTATTTAATTGACGCGTGTATTTTGTGTTTTAGCGGGTGTGGTTATCATCACCCGTACCTATTACATCATTTCTATTCACTAATAATTACCCATCACGTTACACTTTTACCTATCAAATCAATAATATTTTTTGTAAAGCCAACACAAAATATCTCTCTCTTAAATTATATAAAAGTGCAAACATGAAAAGGAATTTGGGATGGGGAATTATATAACATTAAAGGTTACCCATACCATAAAAGTAAAAAATTAATGAACTCTATTCTTTTCCCAACTAGGAGTGTTGTCATTATAACACTCATAATATAATACTCCCTCATTTCTAAAAAAAAAAAACTTTCCTACTTGAAAAAATGTGTTTTTAAGAATTTGTAATTTTGCTATTCTCTTCTAATTTTTATTTTTCTATCTCACACATCATATTCTACCATATTATAAAGTAAGGACAAAACTAAAAAATAATATCAGAATGACACATAATTAAAGTTTGCACCATTCAAAAAAATATATTTAAAGTTTGCATTCTTTTCAAATAAGAAAAGATTTTTTAAGACAAAGGAGTATATCTTACAATTAATAACGTCTAGTTTTTATTTTTAAATTCTACTCTAATTTTTAAATAAATTGTATTAAAAATAATTTCAATAAAAAAGCGTAAACAAAAAAAAGTGATTTAAATTGAGACAGAGGAGTAGAGGATAAAAAATTAAATTATCAAATTTAAAAAACCTGGAAATCGAACTCTAGAAGAGTGAAGTTGAGGGTTAAGTCAGTGGATGACTCGCACTAGGGGTGTGCAGAAAACGGTTGGGACCGGAAATTAGACCTGACCTGGACCGGAACCGGTCCGGACCGACCCGGAGTTATCAGGTCCGGTCTCCGGTCTCATGAAATTATGGATTCCGGGTTCCGGTCCGGTCCGGTCTAAAACCCGAAAATAACCGATCTGAACCGGAATTTTTAAATATATTATTATTTTTAATTTTTTATACCTATCCTATCCACTAATCCAACTATCTAAGAATTCCATGTCCAAAATTTATTTTTCAAATTAGTAAATATTAGCCTCTTAGTTTTTTAGAACTAAAAACTTTAACAACAAATAAAAAATTTTATGTTTTTGGTATTTGCTTCACACCAAATCGGTCAATTTTTATGTGAATCTGTCAATTACATCTCTATTGTGCTTGGTATAAATTTATGGAGATATTAAATCATGGTTTTATCAATTTTGTGTATATTTACATAACAAATTTTAGTTTATGTGATTTTTTAATATAACAAATCCGGTCCATATTAGGGTAAACCCGGATCGGACCGGAATATTCAGGTCCGGATCGGTCCGGACTGGTAACCAACAGATCTATTCTTCGGTCTTAAGGAAATCCTGATTCCGGTTTCGGTCCGGTCCAGTTTTGGACCGATGCACACCCCTAACTGACACAAACTTACAGTCAATGGAAACTGGGTAGCGGGCGACGTACGTCAATGTTCGACGGTGGGGGTTGAGTCTAGAACCGTCACAAACTTGTGGTTGAGGCATCTGACTATGTGAGTTGTTAGAGAAATATATGGAGTACTGGAAAACAAAAAAAGAAAATAAAAATAGTCCAAACGATGTTGTTTCCATGTGGTAAATGAAAAAAGTAATTAAAATTTCTCGTAGGCTGAGTTAATGGAACTCTAGAACAGTTAAGCTGAGGGTTGAATCACGATTGGCTGACAACGACTTACAATCGGTGAAGTCGAGACGACAGACAATAGCATCGGCGGTCGACTATGGGGTTTAATTGAGAAAGATACGAATAGTTAGGTTTACGTACCATCCATACTATTCAAACTTAAATAATACGGAGTAATAATTTTACTATTAAAATAATAAAAATTATTATTATATTATCATCATTTTCTTGAAGTTTCTTGTTTGAGGATGAAATGTCAAAGAAGGGAAAAAACTTTTTTTCCCCAAAAAGAAAAAAGATCGAGGGTATGAATGGCAATTTAAGAAAACACAAGAGGCGCCTCGATTTTGAAATTCAAAATGTTGCCGTTAAGAGATCGAAGATTCATTCCCAGGGGACGGCTATATAGGGAATTGGCTACACGGTTATGAGAAAATCGCGTGCAAATCAAACGAATTGTAGAAAGAGAGCGAGAGAGGGGATGGAGACGAAGGGTGCAACTGCTACTATAATCCCCCACGGCGGCCAGAAAACAGTCCGATCAGGGATGTCGGCAATGGAAGCTTTTGAGAAGCTTGAGAAAGTGGGAGAAGGAACATACGGAAAAGTTTACAGAGCGAGAGAGAGGGCGACAGGGAAGATAGTGGCTCTGAAGAAGACCAGGCTTCCGGAGGACGAAGAAGGCGTCCCTCCCACCACTCTCCGCGAGATTTCCCTCTTGCGCATGCTCTCTAGGGATCCACATATCGTCAAGTACCCATCATTCCCTTTTTTTAATCTTTTCTCTGCCCCCAATAATTATTATTGTTTGATTTTAGTTTTGGCATGAGTTCTAATTAAACAAACAGCACTCGCATTTCTCTCTTTCTGTCTCTGATTATGCAATCCCTACCTTGAATTTTGTTCAGTTGAACAATTACATGTTTCTTTCATTTCAGTGTGTGTTTTCATCGATTCTTCATCATAACTGCGTTGATGTTTAAAATTAAAGCGTCAATTGAAGTTTGCTACTGAGTTTTTGTCTATGTACTGTGAAAAACAGATTGATCGATGTCAAACAGGGACAAAATAAGGAAGGGAAGACGGTTCTGTATTTGGTTTTTGAATATATGGATATGGACCTCAAGAAATTCATCCGTAGCTTCCGTCAAACCGGACAAAATATTGATCCCAAAACTGTAAAGGTCAGCAACTGGCCTGTGTCAAAATCTCCTTGTTTCATCTTTTGATTATATGTATCGATTGGATTAACATTATTATAGTATTATGCCTTCTGAGTTTTGGATTTCTTGTTGCAGAGTTTGCTTTATCAACTTTGCAAGGGAGTTGCTTTCTGCCATGGCCATGGTGTTTTGCACAGAGACCTTAAGCCCCACAATCTTCTGATGGACCGCAAGACATCAATGCTCAAAATTGCAGATTTAGGGCTTGCCAGAACCTTCACTCTGCCTATCAAGAAGTACACTCATGAGGTGCAACAACATTTATTTTTAAACCTCATTCCAATTCAAAGAAAAAATCCAATTATGATATTACTAATAATTTCATTCTACTGCCACAGATATTGACACTTTGGTACAGGGCTCCTGAAGTTCTTTTGGGTGCGACTCACTACTCAACTGCGGTGGACATGTGGTCTGTTGGTTGCATATTTGGTAAAAGAGAGTCACTCTTGACACTATATTCCTTCTCCACTGCATGACAATAATATTTTGCTAACCTTCTTCTCCCTTTTGCGATTTCAGCTGAGCTAATCACACAACATGCTCTCTTCCCTGGAGATTCTGAGCTGCAACAGCTTCTCCACATTTTCAGGTTCAGAAGATTGCTTGTAGCTTTTAGTTTTAAATCTTTAGTGCTTAGCTTGGACCTCCCACTCAGACTTGCAATGGTTTTTTTTCTTTTTCTGATGCTAGATTACTGGGTACACCAAATGAAGAATTGTGGCCAGGGGTGAGCAAGTTGGTGAACTGGCATGAATATCCACAATGGAAACCCCAACCACTCTCATCGGCTGTCCCCAATCTGGATGAAGATGGCCTTAACCTGCTAGCTGTGAGTCGCTGTCCCCAATCTTTAACACTATGTTTGGTTCAAGGAATTTTGAAGGGAAAAGAAAAGAAAATGAGAGGGAAAACAAATTTCATGTTTGGTCGGATAGGGAAAAAAAAAAGAAAAGTGGAAGGAAAAAAATGAGAATGCGAAATGTACAAAAAATCAAGTTCCTCTCATCTTTTTCTTCAAAATTCCTTGAACCAAAAATAGTGTAAACATCACACACTAGAAGAATCATACTCACTATCTGCATGTGCTTGTGATATAGGAAATGTTGAACTATGAACCATCAAAGAGGATTTCAGCAAAGAAAGCTATGGAACATCCTTATTTCAAGGATCTAGACAAGTCGGCACTGTGATTGCACCAAATTTGGCACATTTCTTTTCTGAAGTTTCTACTGATTCAGGATTATGGTCAATAGTGCATGCATTCTTCCATGTGGATCAATTGCTTGCCTCAAGCAACACTAGAGTTTTAGATTAAGCTTTTTATTCTCATGTTTGGAGGTATTTTATTGTATCAAAGACTACTGGCATTATTTACTTTAATGTAATGCCATTGGCAATTATATTTTACATGCTGAAAAAGGTAACAAGGAATTGAGCATTATTTACCCAATTCCTTCTGCAAAATCTCTGGGAACCTATTATCAGTGAAGATCCCCTTTGGCAGGAGAGGCTTAAACAAACTCACTATGTTCTATTGAATCTATTCTTGACGTGAAACATGGAATATATTGTCAAAAACTAAATGAAATCCTGAGTATATATATTATTGCAGTGTATCAACTCAGATGGAAACCAACCACATATAGAACGTAGACCACAGAGTAAGTGAGATTGAAGCTAATCCATAAGCCCATAGCATAATCACTGAGCATTCACTCTCACCAGCTCCAAACAATTGAGTCATGGTGCCTGCAAATTGAAAAACAAATTTTCCTTAGATTGTTTCAAAATAGCAACATACGTAGAATTTTTTATCTGATTTTTCATCCTTCAAAAGTGAGCATGCAGAGTTATTAATCCGCCCAATGTTATTGTGCAAGTGCATACCAATAGGTAGAAAAATGACACACCTATGTTCATGGCAGGTGGAAGTGCAAATTGAAGATACAACACAAATTGATATAATGGATCATTTGCAACCACTAAGCCAAATCGGATTGCTCCTTTAACAATGGCTATGCCTATTATAGGAAGGGCAATGTATCGAACAATAATGATCCCAATAATAAGGGACTTGTCTATTGATGATCCCCGCAAACCTGAAAATTGGGAAAGGGCAATTAATTTTAATGCTCATTTTCTATAAAAAAATACACAGAAGAATAGTATGTGTACCTTTTAATAGGTTTCCTCCCATTATGAGTGTGAGAGTTGGGATTGAACCATCCCTGCACATTGCACATGCCTTTCAAAGGTTATGATTAAACCATGAAAGTGCATATGTGGAATTAAATTATCATAATTATCATAAGTTGACAATCCAAATGAAAGTTGACAATCTGCCACTAAAATACAAACGGGCCGGTTTTGTTGCCTAGTGGCAAGGGTGCCACGTTTTTTGGAGCACCTACGATGCTCCGTTCGCAAAACAGATGGATCCTACTCCCTAACCCCAACCCCCTCCAAATGTGTGAACAGGGTTGTACGCCCCTACTCGAGAAGTTGAGATCTATTGAAAATTTTAAGAGGGCCCAAGCTTTGGATTGTTTTGATTTCCTACATGCTTTTAGACTCGGAGAAAAAATGTCTTTTATACTTCTCATTTCTCAATAAAAAATAGAAACTAACCAAAAATATATTTTCATGGGTTTAATATTGAACATAGATGTGCTTAACACCCATGAAAATGATCCTAGAAATTTCAAAAATATATTGCATAATTCTAGTAATTTTCTAAAGAAGCAAAAATATCTGCGGCTCAGCACATTGCTTCATAGGCCTCTAATCTCAAGTGCGGGCCGGTGTGTGACAAAAAATATCATAACTAGTTAAAATTCGATGGCCTTCAAATTATTGTTCTAGTATATCTTTCAATATGGATCAAAATTAATCAGGCAAAGAAAGCTCCTATTGTACCCAAGCAACAAGGCAGTATCTTGGATCACATGAAGTGGAGCGGAATCACCAATCAGCAATCTCCTGATTTGAGGTGTAACCCCAACCACAAAACCGACAATCTACATAACAAATGAACTGATCAATAACAGAAATGGGGTGGCTGGACGTGTATTGCTTGAATTTTCAAAAGTCACACCAAAAGAACCTTACTGCTCCAGTGGTTGAGGGGGGCTAATAAGCTCTTTAGATTGATCTTTCTTGAAATCATCTCAAGATACTGCTTAATTTTTGTTCCAAAAGATGCCTGCCATATTAGTATAGAGGGATATTAGCCCGATCTATAACACTATTCATCACACGAACTAACACTAACTCTGAATGACATGTGTAATTAAGTTCCCGGCTTCCTTTCACGCATGTGATCATTTTAATTTATCATATTTATGAAAGGCAACTTTTTAAGGAAATATATGCATTAATGCCCAACTTTCTGAGCTCAAAACAATAAAGTAGGATGAATTTTAGATAAGGAAACATAAAAAAAATGCATAAATATGTGTGCGCTTCAAAATGGAAACGTAATTGCAAGATGAAGTGATCATAATAAGGAACCTGTTTACAGAGAATTTGAGTGATGTCAAGAAGCAATAACCTGAAGTTTATTGTGTAATGTATTGGAAGGCAGAACCTTTTGTTCTAAGTACACCCCCTCCTCTTCGGTGCAATCATTTGATGGGAGTAGAGGTTCTATGCAGTTCCCATGTTCTAAAGTAGATCTTTCCACATAAGATTGACTGTGAGGTGAGTGAATTATTTCAACTTCCTTCGAACTTCTGCTTGATGACAATCTGATTATATTATACACGTACGACCAAAGATAAACTGCTCCTATCTGAAGTTTATGCAAGAGGTGTCACAATATTAGATTGAACTTCCTAGGAAAAAGTATATTGTTCTAGTGAGGTAGCACATGAATCCATTCATTGAAAGAAGCTCGTAACATTTGCATATAATTATCCACTGCTCATCAAAGCGTACTTGATGCTAATAGTTTACTCATTATTGTTTGAATCTTTCTTTTGATGAATTACACAGCTGCCCTGTTAAGTGTTATAGCATTAAGGATTGAGCAAAAGCCATTCAACTACATCACATTTGGGTAATTAGAAGATCGGATCCAATCGATTATATAGTTGAACCCAAAATCTTATTCATTTATCATTCACGTTTGAATATTCTCATGTGGACTCTAGTATGTGATGAAAGAATAAAAGAAACAAGTGCTACCGTACCGCCATGGAAAGTGAAGCATAGCCCATTCCGGAAGTATGGCAAATGTCAGGATCACCAAATGGACTACCTTTCTCTTTACAAACTGCGGGAATTATAATAATGAGCATGTTCCCCAAGTTTCCTGCTCAAGAACAAAGAAAGAAATCAAATATTTTTATAAGTTATGCTTTCTAGGGAAAAGTGAAATAGCCCCAAACTGACCTGCGGCACAACATCCCACGATAAGTCCTCGTAGATGTTGGGGAGCTCTTGTAACATGAACAGCAGCACATCCGAGAATCGAACCAATAACAAATGTGATGAAAATGTTGAGAGGCATGAACCACCTGATGGATGAAGAAAGTGTGTGCAACAAGGCATAAAGAGAAGAAGTGGAGGCGGGATGCGAGCAAGTTGTGGTGAGAAATGTCAAGGAACCAACTCAACCAAAAGCTCAAGCTTGTGGTTGTGGCCCAGGAACAGTTATTTATATTCTAACAAGAAATAACAAAAACTCACATCTTTATTATGCTTTCATATGTGATTGAATTGGCCAAGTTGCTGGACACCAGAGAAGGATTGAATACAAAATATACAATCTGCTCCACACACACACACACACACACAGAGAATACTACATATTAATCGTATGTTGCAGTAAGTTCGTGCATGAAATAAGAGCAAATCATACATACATTGTTCATATGCTTCCTTGCGTCCTCTCCCAACAAATCAAAGTGTTCGAGGGCGAGAATTGATCCGAGACCCGTCACCAGAAGCACTTTGAGGACTGGCATTGATGCCGCAATCAACAGGTCCATAAACTTCCCCATCTTCAGATTTTCTAGAAACACAACCAAAATTAGTTTATTGGGGAACAGACAATCACAACACTGAACACAGAACAAACTCCCTCCTTTCTCTCTCTTTCCCTTTTTTGTTTTTCTGTCTCGTTTGGCACGTTCCAAAACGTTTGTGGTTCATATTTGGTCATTCACTCCCAAAATCGTCTACTTTCATATCCAATATTCCCTTTCTATATATTCACTTTTGACTTTTTTTTATCAAAATTGCTAAACTTTGAATTCAAATTAAAAAAAAATGATATTAGATATTAATACAAAAATAGTTTTATTTGATATATTATATAAAATATTTTCAAAATATCTTTTTATCTAACTAATATAGAATATATATTTTATTACTCTTTATTTAATTATAAGTCAAATGTTGAAAATAGTTGACTGAAAAAAGTCAAAACTGGACAAATACTCTGAATGGAAGTAGTATTAATTACATAATTCCAATTGTTTTTTTAAAAAAAATTAAACGTCACTCTTTGAAATCCCAACATTACTAGGACAGAAATACTCCTGTTTTTTAGCCTGAATATTTAATGTGAAAATGGAAACGCATATTTCAATTTATAGGTTTGTGGGTTGTAATCAGTAGAAAAGTAACATGCGGTGACAGCAAAGGAATTATTGCTACATTAAAGAAAGAAACGAAACAAATATCTCCCAGACTACTAGAAAGATTGGTACAAGGAAGGATGAAACCTCGGATGCAATAATCTCAATCTCCAGATGAAAACTTGTAATTGAATACAGATTAGTGAAATGGAACACAGACACTAGTGCTCCTATATAATAATAGCCTAGTTGGTGCACCTAGAGTTCCCCACTTCCCGTGGACTTTTAGCATGCATATCCAAAATAGGAGTCACGTGCAATTTATTTTTTACAAAGGCGTCACTCTTGGGGTCACTTGGCTTTTTGGAATAACAGTGCCACTTCCAATGTAACCACCATTTTTTTATGGCGCCACTCCTGGAAGTTTTTATCAAAATATCCTGTAAATGTTTCGTATTTGGTAGACTACCCGTAAATTGACAGAATTATCCAAGCATGTAAATGAGACACACTTCATAAAAAAACGAAAAAGGTCATTTAACGGAGCGTACACACCATTTCAAGTTTAAATTTAAAAAAAACAAGAATGGGTGAAACAACGTCGGAAGAGTTTACACAAAAACCCTCCCAAAACATCTATTCCTTCATCGTGCGACCTTTGAGTTTTCGATCTCTCTCCCACCTCTTCAACATCTCCAAAAGTTGAACGAAACCCGCTCCACCCAAAGTCCCAGATCTCAAGAACAGTTTGGTTTTTACAATGAGGACGAAGAATACTTCTGTGTCGTACTCCAAGAGTGAAAGCAATAGGAATCATGGAGAAAAAGACAGCCGCACAGCACATCATAACCCAAAGTCCACTCAAGGAAATCTCCATGTCAAAAACTTGATAATAAACTAGTTATTCTATCTCCGATTCAATCGCTAAAGAAAGTCAATGAATGATTAGGATGGACGACTAACACACGTTGAGTCGACTAAAAAAAGCTCGACCTTCGTCGACATTAGTCCTAGTTATTTTGATGTTATACTGTATGAATTTTTTTTACATTATATGCCCTTATATAGGTTTCGGAGATCAAGACGAAGGTAAATGTGAAGGAATTTCCAAATATGAAGCTGACTGTGTAGTCTTCACTGCCAGACTTCCAAAAACTAATGAAGGAAAGGTTAAAAGAGCATATGGAAATCATAGAAGAGTTCAAGAGAAATTCTCTCTTTGGTGCTTACTTAGATGTCCAACTTGTTCCCCTCCAGCCATGCTATGGCAATTAATGGTTAGAGAGGCCAATGTGGGAGGTAAAAGAGGGCATGAAATATGGTTTCTAGTAAATGGAGTTCCTGTTACATACACTATAATGGAATTTTCTCTGATTACTAGACTAAAGTGTTGAGAACTGGCATCCAGATATGATGAGAAGTATGATTCAAATGCTCCGCGTGCTTTTGTTGAAGAAAATTGGCCAAAAGTGTGGTTTGTTACACTTCTGTAGTTGAGAGGTTCTCAAAAGTGTGTCGAGAATGTGCATTTGGAGAAATAAATGTTCAAAAAAGCCGTCACACTCTGCGATTGAAAATACAATTAATAATTCCAAAGTAAGTAATACAATGTGGGTGGATTAAATTTACATGTTTCGTGTTTAATTTCTTAGTGTGGACTACATATTAAGAGTTGAATTAAGGTGTAGAAGTTGGATTTGTCGACCTTTTAATATATTTTTGACTCCCATGTGTTAATATGTTTTTGACTTCAAACATGTGGAATTGTCTCATGCAGAGTGTAAGGAGCAATCTTCTTCTAGAGGGAAGTGAAATACATGCTCCTTGGATTACCAGCTTGAGCTCCTTGGCATGTGTTGCCTATTCAACAGTTGGATCTTTAGTCAGGGGACTCCAAAGTCGTGACAAGCCCTACAGATATGCATGCAAAAATTTGAAAGATTACATGGATAGAAAATTTTCTGAGCTTCAGGAAATGCATGTCGATAAGTGAAGAGAGAAGTGAAGAGTGTCATAGAGAGGGATTTTAAGAAACTAGAAAAAAATTTATCCACATCTTACATGAGACCATAAAAGGAAGGGGTGACGAGGGGAAAGAAGATGGTGATGATGAGCAAGAGGCAGTGAAGGAAGAAGATGATGAGGAGGGAGTGAAGGAAGAAAAAGCTGAGCTAGAGGGAGAGAAAAAAGTTGACCCCTCAGGAGTATATGGTGAAGTTAAAAAGAAAGAAAACATGGATGGGAGTCCAATAAACATGAGGTTGACCTTTGATCAGGTATGAGTCGACCATTGTGTCGATTAGTTAATGTTTTTGATATACTTTATATTTTTTTGTTTTGTACGTCTTTGTGAGCATTCCTTTCCCATTTTATACAGCATGATATTTCTATTTATCAGGAAGGCTTAAAGAAATAGAAAATGGATACGAGTCCACTAAATCCACTGAATACAAGGTCGAATGTGGATCAGGTAAGATGTTAACTTGTGGGTCGATCTTTGTTAAAAGGTTGACTTGTACTTGTCGTTTTTTTAACTTCTTGTTAAGCATCATTTTCCATTGATCAAGAAGCCGAAGAATGTTGCGAGTGGGATAATGCAAAGGACAAAGAGGATGAGATGAAAATGAGTAATAAAATTGTCAATGATGTTGTGGAATACTACAAATCAACTTTAGACAATGTTGATGAGGTAATAAGGTCATATTTTAATACTATTTGTTATGAGCTTGCGTAATACGTATTCCTTAAATATTATGAATAGAACACTGAGCTCATTGATGAAGACTTCAGATAACTAATAGATGAGCATGAAGCTGCTGCTACAGAAGTACGTAGTAGGTTAAGTTTTATTGAATTTATTTATCATTGGCATCTTACTTTTAACATCCAATATTTGGGTCGAGGCTGGTGGGAGAAAAAACGAAGTATTATGTTGAACACCCCTACACTGGCCATGTATATAAAAAGAGAAAGAGGACAAATGATTCAAGGCCAAACGAGCTAGAGAAGTGGAAGAAGCACACCTATATAAAAGAAGTAACCCATCTAGCCAACAACTTGAGGCCTTCCATAATTTCCTGTAGTCGGGAATTCTAATAGGAGAGAAATGCAATGTATAAAGGCCAAGAGAGCAGAGTCCCATGAGATTGTAAAGAAGTGGTGGAGTACATTGAAAATCTATTGCAATGTGTAGACTTGTGTTAACTAGTCAACCTGTCGACTTGGTTAATCCATTAAGATTCGGTTTCAATAATGAAGTCGAAACACTAAATTAGCGTAGAATATATGTAGAATATAGGTTGAAACCATTGTAAGGATATGATTTTATATACATATATTCACAAGCTCAAAAGCACTCACAAAATATGTTTAAAATCTTCTTATAATCATTTCCATACATCCAAAAGATTTTAAATAAAATTAGAAATAATTTAGAAAAAATGAAAAAATCATCAAAACAGTCAGCAGGTACCTAGGTACCGTAAGAGGTACCATGAAAATGTAGAAAATAAAAGTTCTATTTCTTTATTCAAAAAAATAGAGTTACAATAAAAATAAAATGTCAATCATGAAAGAAAAAATAAGTTTGATTATATTGTGTGACATATATGATATTTAAAACAAAATCTTCTAATATATAAAGTATAATTACAAATATATTATTTTATAATAATTACTGCATAAATAAATTGAAGTGCAACGTAACTACAATAACTTTTAAAAACTTAACATTTTGATATTTATGCTAACTTTATATTATAATTATTTTTTCCAAAAGTAGTTTTTTTGTTTATGAAAAATAACAATACTTTTTTTTTTATCTTAAATGCACTCATTAAAATAAAGTGATGATAATAATAATAATTTATAACAACAAGAATTAGAATGAGAATAATATAAAAATATACTAAGATAATTTTTTTAAAAGTTTTTTTAGGGTTTCCAATTTTTAAAAGTTTTTTTAGGTCGTTCAAGTTCCTTCCAATTTCTTCCACTTCCCTCAAATTTCTTCCAGTTCCTTCTTGTTTCTTCCAGATTCCGTCAATATTTAGCTCTTTTTTTGAGTTCTAAAGAACAGGCTCTACGCATAAGTATGTTGTAAAGTCAAAATTATATATTCAATCTTGGTGTCGTCTAATACGATATGTGAAAAGATGACCGACGATATATTATTTGTCAAATTTAGAATTACGTATAAAAGTTATAAATAAAATAGACATTACGGTTTAATAAATAAATGAAATAATTTTAAAAGTTAATAGTCAAAATAAAAAGTTATTCTCTCCGTCCAAAAATTATCTTCATGTTGTGCGTTTTGATGTTTGATTGAAAATTTTTTCAAATCATACACAAATTGAAAAATGGTCTATTTTTTTACTGATTCTTCTATGCATTTCTACTGTGTTTTGGGTTCCAACCTACAGATTTTGGATATTTGATTTCATTTAATAATATGCTAATTTTAAAAAAAACAATATTCTTTGTGATTAAAAATCAAGAAAAACCTAAGATGCCATAAATGAATTGATTACTGTATGCTTCAAGAAATGGATATAAACAAACCTTAAAATTATTTTGAGATCAAACTACAAT